AATATGGGTTTGAGTTCCATCTCTGCCTTTGACCTCCTGTGTGATCTTGTCTTACCCTCTTTGACCCTCGGGATGGGGTGGGATTTTGTACTCTAAGAACTCTTAAGACCTATTCTAGCTCCCATCTTCTAGGAGACTGATTTTAGTTACACCCTCTGTGCTTCAAACTCCAACTATTAAACAGGATAACTTTGGCTCTACCTACTGCAAGGGGTCCAACAGAGAATCTGGGAGATCTCCTCATGCCATGGAGAGACCCTGAGCTCATAAACTCAGACGGGTCCTAGCAAGATGAAAACTTGGAGCACGACCTGGTAAAAGACTGTTGTCCCAAAACCAGGCAAGCTACAATCCAAGAGGCCCATCACCAGGGCATGGGTTTTTCAGTCTACTCAGGAAGATCTACTAAGGCAAGGAAGGGTTTAGGATCTGAGAAGATGGAAGGAGCACCTGCACCTACAGATTTTTGAAATGATAATCTTTGTCAAATGGTTTTGGGAAGTCTTACACAAATTCAAATTCAAGGATTATCTATTCTGTCAGCAACCCCACGTGATTTGTGAAACTCAAGTAATTTATCTTCTTCAAAGCAACTGAAAAATAAAAAATTGGATAATAAAGCAAGCAGCATCTGAAATACAGCAATAGGAAGGGCAAGGAACAACTAAGGCAGAAAAAAGGTCCATTCTTACTTGACATCCTCTCTGGAAGATGATGAAATTGAACGTGGAGAAATACCTCATTGGCCTGGGCAATCCAGAGCCATAGAACTGAGAAATAGGAGTGTGTGATGTGGGGGGAACAGAGAAAATAAGACGGCAAATTGGTTTAACTTTGGATAAGCGAAAACCATCATCAATTTCACCAAAACAAATTTCAGAGAGTGAAAGAGAACCTTTATTCTACAGGAGCAGGATTATCAAAGTTAAAACACACACTACTTTGTTCCAAATGATGAAGAAGATCACCTATAAAACCAAAAGATATCGATACAACTTGCTCTGATTGCAAATGGAAGGAATGGCTACTCCAATCCTTTCCTCTTATTTCCAGAGGCATCTGCCACATACACACACATACACACACGCACTCACACACACCCCATTTCTAGGCACTGTAAATAGGATGACACCTCTTGGGGAAAAATAAGTGTTTACAAAAAAAAAAAAATGACCTTCCTCCCCTTCCCACCCAAAGCAAGGAACCCCCTAAACTAAGGTATCACCAGAACAAAAGTCACACATAAGCAAGCTTCCTGAATAAAAATGGAATAAAGTGATTGTAGGGGAGGGAGAGATGGGAGAATATCTGTAAATTTATGCAAAGTCCACATACAGAACCTTTTAAAAGAGTTGGTATTACTTTTGAATATAATATTAAACTATTAACTACTTTCCTTACTGAGCTTAAAATATGCTAATTATTTGCTTTAATCCACAAACTAAACATTCCCCCTGCCCTCTCACTGATTTCACTTGCTTAGCAAACCCTTTCTTTTCAAAGATGTGACAAAGGCAAGCTTCAGGCAAGCATCCGATGACAATAAAACTTCATGGGAAGAGCACTGGACAGGGAACCAAGGACCTGGGTTCTAGTCTGGGCTCTGCCACTCATTCCTTCTTTCTAGGGTTCTTTCTTCATCTGGACCACATGATCACTAAGGTCCTTTCCAATTCTAACATCTTGGATTCTAGGCTTGAAATGGAAAGTGGAAATTTATCTCTGTACAATATTGAAGAAAAGGCTTTTAAAGAAAATGGTGCAAAGATAGTAAGAAGGTTGTTTAAATATCTTAAGAAAAACCTTTCAAAACATTCACAGATAAAACTATACATCATTCTTTTTTGCTCATTAAAGTGGGTCCCAGAGGATCTCTACTTACCACACTTTAGTCTTGTGCCAGTTAAATACTTGAAAGTAATGAATTTGCCCTTCAAAATTGCCTAGTTCAGTTTAGCTACACGGAACCCCAACCCCTTTAGTACTAATGAGGTTTCACTACACGAATGATCATCACCTACTCTTTAAAGCACTTACAAGATTCCCAAAGACCCACAGACCAGCTACCACTCTGAATATCCCTGTCTAGCTCAGCTCCTGAGAAAAGTCCCTTTGCTCAACTGAGTTTACACATGTGACTAGACTAACACTTTTGCTGTAGGCTTAACTGCTTTCTTTTCCTGGTCACTGCTTGGAATCTTCAGTTTGTAAGGATGAAATTAATGCTGTTCAGAAAAGTGCCCAGTTCTAACTTCCTATGACATACAAATCTGAATTCCCATCACGTTGAACCTCTCAAGCCCCAAGGACCGAAGGCAAGCCCTATTTACACAAGAATACACCATAATAAGGCATTCACGGATGAAGACATTTTGATTTTTGACTCTGCAAAAATGTCACCTCCCCCTATAAATAATGAAACAAAAAGCATACCAACAAAGTGCTTGGAAACGTTTTTCTTTGAAATGTCTCAAATTACTGAAGGTAAGCCAGTTTACAGGGTGGGAAATGAGGTAAGAAGGAATATATTTCCCTAAGGCAAAGCTTGAGATGGGGGAAGAAAGGAAAGAACAGAGAAAGTTCCCCACCCTGACTATTTGGCTTCTGGGAAATGGGGAGAAGGGAGCAAAATGGAAGGGGAGGTAGTAGCTGACTTCTACATAGTACCCTACACATTTCTAAGCACTTCACATAAAGCGACTCACTGTTATTCATTTAGGACAATTGTCTCAACAAATCCACCAGAGTCCTTAGGTGAAACTCAAATTCCCCCAAGGTATCAGTACTATTATAAAGAGTTTTTCTATAGTTTGTAGTAGTACTTCTGAGTATTTTAACCTCTGGCCTTAACAACTGCCAAGAACAGAGGCAATCTTAGGGCATTCAGGAAACCAGAAGGATTAAATCTGAAAAGGTTTTGGGTAACCAATCTGCCCAATCACATTAAACCAACAAATATTTACCTGCAAGGCCCTGCTTGCTATGAGCTTCAGGTGCTCTCTCCACGTGTTCCCGTTCTATTACATTCCCCAAGTTTTTCTTTGGATCAGTGATGACACTGGATAAGCATTTATTCCTTATTAAGCTGGGCAATGGTCCTGCACTTCCTAGTTTAAATCAAAAATGACAAATATTCCAAGTGTATTTGGTAGGGTGGCTTGCAGTTCTTCCAAGTGTCCTAGAAGTCCTAGAATTAAAAACCTCTTTTGTACTACTGCATACAACTCCAAGTCAGATCTACCTAAAACCAGAAAATCTCTATGGGACTGATCCCTTTGATAGAAAAAAACAAATGAAAGCAGTTGGCTTTATAATGATATAGCAATTCATATGGTGGTGGGTGTGAGGAGAGTGCATACTATATATATATATGTACATGTATGTTTAAAAACCACCTTTTAAGTATACTGCCATTAAATCACTTAACGAAGTCCAAATCATGAGCTAAGGATACAACTGGTTTGCTGTGTGCTAGGTTAAGCATCACAGAAACCAATGACTAATACATGAGAAATAATACTGGCCTTTCCCCTGGCCAAAGGGGCCAGTATGATAAGAGGAGGAGACAGCTGCTAGGTCTTCCTTCAGGATGCCTCTTATTCCCACCATCCTTCCTGGTATAAACATCTAACTGCTCTGTGGACAGCTCTGATGCAGGCACTCTTGCTAACAAAGCCAAAGGCTATCTAAGGAGGCACCGAATCTGAAAAGCTGGCCTGAGCACAGACGCAATGCTGTTTGCTGGGGATGGGGGAGGGGTGTTGATTTGATAAGATAACTGCACCCTTTCTTCAGGAACCTCATCCCATTAACAAAAAAAACCTCTGGACTTTGTGGATCTATCAAGAATTTATCAAATCTGGCCTCAGACACTCTCAAATCCAGCCTCATACACTTGACACTTACTAGCTGTGTGACCCTGGGCAAGTCACTTAACCCCAATTGCCTCATTAAAAAAAAAAAAAAAGAATTTAGCAAATGAGAAATTTTCCCCAATAAAGATATGGATACAAGTAAGACCCATCAACAAAAGGAATAAAATAAAATACAAACCCCCAAAGTCTTGTTCCTTTGAATAAACCCTAACATTTGCTTTAAGTCAAATTACCAAACTAGTAAGTTTCTGTACACAGTTTTCATTAGGTTCTTCAGGTTCTTCAATCTGTTAGCCCCCCCTTCCCACAACTTAAAATGGAAGCTAAGCCAGTTAACTAGCCTACAATAGCTTTCCAACTTGGGAAATTCCTTGTAAACTCCAAAAGAGTCATGATAGAAAATCCTATCCACATCCAGACAAAGAACTTAAAAGTCTGAATGCAGATGAAAGGATGTATCTGCTCTTTTGTTGTTTTGTTTTGTTTCTTCTTTCTCAAGGTTCCCCCATTGGTTCTAATTCTTTACATCATGACTAACATGAAAATATGTTTAATATGAATGTATGTGTAGAGCCTATATCAGATTGCATGCCCTCTTGTGGAAAGAGGTGGGGAGGGAGGGTGAGAAAATTAAAACTCAAAAGCTTATGGAAGTGAATGTTGAAAACTAAAAATAAATAAATGTTTTAAAAAAAAAGAAACCCCATGTAAGTCATTTATCTATGGAATTCTTTAATTCTTCCATACATCGTATGGAGGTGCAAAGAGAAACTTAGTAATGGATCTTTCTGGAATCGGGTAAATGCCAATTGGAGGATTACAGACAAGATGAAAATAGAGATGAGTGTCAAACACTAGATATTTTCTGTATGGTATGAAATGAGGAAAATAAAAATCAATGGGAAAAAAAATCTCAAATGCAAAAGTAAAGCATGAGTAGAGAGACTGAAGCCTGTGAAATTTTATTTTTTATACAAAATAATAAAAACTTATGTTTTTAAAAGGATTCAAAGTTATGTTTTTTAGCTATTACCATTTTCCTGTACATGAAAATTGCTTCTAACTCAGAAGATGGGAAAAAAATTAAATAACCCTCTACCTTCCCCCTGCAAAAAGACAAATAGGACAAGTCATCCATTTTATTTATGCTACTAGAAATTATCTGTGTTAGGATATCAGCCTCTAAGCCAAGTAAGGATAATCAGATTCCAAAGAAAACAGCAGGAAGCCATAAGCTGTACAAGCGTATTACAACAAACCCCTCAAAGAAAATAAGACAGTAACAACAAACAACACATAAGGCAGAATAAGAAAATGCCTGATATTTACAGCCTCCATATGACAAAACACAATTGGGCGCTGGTTCTAGCATCAAAAAAAAAAAAAAACAAAAACAACAAACCCCAAGATATCTCTTGATGGGTATCACAGAAGAATCTGATGCAGCCAGAGCAGCCAGTGCTAGGAAGTACTCAATCCCAAGAATGGAGAAATGCAGAAAGTAGGCAACCTAGGACTGCACCATGCCTTGGTCTTCCTGCAGTTCAGTTACTAAAAATGACACGAGGTAAATGGTCTGATGTGGTTTTACAGAAAGGATTTTCTTTCACCCCTCTTTAGAACAAACTACTCCTCAATGCAGGCACTGGGTCTGGGAGTGCAGACATTAATGGCCACTCAGTGGAGGGGTGTTTCTCTTGGTGAAGTTGTATGAGGGCAGGGCTCTACAGCCTGTAAGCTTCTGTACTAATGGGTCTTCTAATAATCCTGTGGGGGAGAAAAGCAAAATTCCTAATTACTACACTAAATGAACTCAGAAGAACACAAGGATTTATTATTTTAGGTTTGTAAAACAATTCTTTGTTAGAGTACTCAAGTACAGAAAGCTGCATAGCTTACGAGCCTATTCCAAAGCAAAGTGCTGTCCTTTGCAACTCTTTTGACAAACCCACTTTTGAGTCTATTTTTTCCCTCAGCAAAGGGGAGAAAAAAAATACTAATGCATCCACCCGCCCATCTCACAGCATCTACCTTGAGACCAACCAACCACAGGGATTGGGAAGCAACACCTGGTCAGAGGTAAGGGTGTCTAGAATGGACCAAAGCAAAGAGAAGAAGCCCCAATTACACGGAAAGGGCAAGCTTGTCTTCAGTAGCACCACACATTTCAGCTGAGCTCCCCTGCCTTGGAAAGCCCAAGTACTGACTACTTAATTGTTGAATCAAAAGGGAATGATTTAAAGTAAAACTGTTAGAGAACTTATTTCTTCTTTTAAGATATAAAGCAAGAACACAATACTATTTTTTTTAATTTTTTTGCTTTTTGGTAAGGCAATCGGGGTTAAGTGACTTGCCCAGGGTCACATAGCTAGCAAGTGTCAAGTGTCCAGTGTCTGAGGCCAGATTTGGACTCAGGTCCTCCTGACTCCAAGGCCAGAGTTCTATCCACTGTGCCACCTAGCTGCCCCAAGAACTCAATACTCTTAACAGCTAAAAATGTGTCTGAGAAAACTATTCTAGGCTCCAAAAGTAAACAGAGACCAAGCAATAAGAACTTTGTTGCTTTTTCATTTTTTGCTCTAGGCCATAGCTTTAAGTCAGCCAGCAAAGCCTGGCCAGTTCTCTCTAGTGACGTCAGAATACTGATACTTACGGCTCTTGGCTTTTTGTTTAGCTTCAGATCAATCCTGTGGTGAAAAAGACAAAAGATATTTGTATTTTAACTAACAGCAGAAAGAGGCTCCAAGAATCAGATACTGCATTTGGTACAAGCTACAACAAAGACTATTCGGTTAAGAAAAATCCACATTTTTCATTAGACTACATGTCAAATTTAGTTGTTTACCCACTTATTATTCAGCAAGGATCGGTTAAAAATTGTAAGAGCAGATTCTCTAGACCTTGCCAAAATGCAAACTTGGATAACAACCCAATAAGAAATATGGTGGTTGTAAAAGCCATTATAATTTTTAAAAATTACTATGAAAGTATGTGTTAGAGAGATTGGATTAAAAGGGCATGCTCTACATTAATGTGTTAGCTGTGTAACTATATCACTGATAATTATTCAGACACATTGGCAGGTAAGTTCAGGAAAGAAAGACTAGAAGTTTGTATTTCAGGATGTGAGATACATAATAGGAATTAAGTGAATTTCATTTATTAAACTTCTCCAGAGCAAAATACCCAAATCTGATACTATTAATCTCTTTATGAAGCAAAGCCAGGAAATCAGTTTAAATACGAAATAAGGTAAAGTTGATCTATTTAAAATAAAATAAAAATGAAGAGAAGTGAAGATTACTTAATTTTGCTTAAGTTATTAAATGAAATGTTACCTCCATCACGTTTTTCTGTTTTTTAAAAAAACTTCCCAGCCTAACCTAATATACATACCTACAATTAAACAGATAAACTATGAGTTAGAAAGGTCTCAAAAAGGCATACTGGTGTCTACACACTAAACAACACAGCACAAGTACTAATTCAAATCAAACTTACTCAAAGTCATAATCAAACATGCCAGACGGGCTGAGGGGCAGCATTTGAAAGGAAGAAAGCAATAGAAATTAATATACTAATTAAATAAATTAGTTGATTAGCCACCCTAGCAAGATTACTAAAAACAAAATCAGCTTTAAGAATCTTATGCCATAAAACCTCAAACATCAAAGCACCCAGGTTTCTATAGTCAAAAGGTTCCCTCCATGGATTTTTACATCAGAAGTATAGTAGTGTTATAAAAGGGATGGTTATTTCATTAGAACTCTACCAGATATGTGGACCAATTCATTAGCTGCCAGATGCACAGTTAGATTTTTTTTAAACATACATGAATGGACTGAAAATGTAGAAGAATTAGGGCATTAGACAAAATGGGGAGAAAAAAGTTTAGGCATATAATAAAAATGCTTTAAAAACAGTAATTCATAACCCAGTAATAACAGCATGAACTTTTTTTTTTAAAAGGAGAAAAAGAGAAAATGTTCTGCAACACTATACTCAAGTAATATGTTCTCAATCAGGTGTCTAGGCCGGGGACCTGATGCTCTCAATCTTCCTGGAAGTCAAGGGCTGAATGAATACCCTTCAATGGCAAGGTGTTCACTCAGGAGATGGGCTGGTCAAAGTGCTCAATCACTGAATGCAATACAGCTGACAGGAGTTACCTATTAAACATCAGGGCTTTAATTTAGGCGTTCCAAAGTTTTCCAAGCATTTGGAAGAAACTTTGAGCATCCACAAGTATCCCAAACTTTCCTCTATGCTCTTAGAAATTGAGGTAGAAGTAGTGCTGAGTCCCAGGCTCATAGATTTCGAGCTCAAGGAACCTCGGAGGTCATCCCCTGAAACCACCCCACTCCCACCCCCATTTTATAGCCAAGGAAACTGAAGCCCAGAGCCAATGTGATTTGTCGCTAGTTAATAAGTCAAAGAGTAGGATTTGAACCCAGGTCCTCTTATTCAAAATCCAACATTCTTTCCACTGTAAACCGATAGTGTGTTACAGTTTCTGCTAGAGCAAATGGCAAATAGAAGAGCAGTTATAAAATATCTTTTTGCTGCTAGCCACACAAACAGCAGACAAGTGGAGTGAGTTCCTTGCTGGCTCCCATGCCTTCCAGGGAATATTGGCAAGTCCCAGCCACAAGCTGTAGGATATACCTCTAATTAATTACATAAGTTGTTCTTTATTTCTTTTATTTTTTTAAACACTGTTTCATTTATTTGCATTGTTCTGCCAAAATATAAAACTAGAAAAAAAAATAGTCACATCTAAATTAGACCCAATAAGGTCAGTTAAACCCACTGAATAGATTTCTAGTACTTGGTAGTCATTCCTATTCTCTCTTCTCATCACCGCTGTTCTTGATTTTTCATATGAATGTTCTGTGATTCTATTTATACAAGCCTTGAGTGTGCTTTGGTAGAATGCCTCCCAGACAATTTGTGAATTTTGTAGTAATTGTGAATGGGACTTCCCTTTCTATTATTTCCTCCTGAATTTTGTTACTACTAGTTAAAAATGCCATTGATTTTCTGGGTGTGTTTTTGTATCTGCTACTTTACTGAAGCTATAATTATCTCAGTTTCTCTGCTGATTCTCTGGGGTTTTCTAATTAAGTTGTCCTATTCTGTCAAATAGGAATAGTTTTGTCTCTTTGAATGTCAGAATTATCAAAATCATGCTTTGTCCCAATTTTAATTTCTCTTGTCATTGATACTGCTAGCAATTCTAAAACTATGTCAAATAATAAGACATACTCATTCTACTCCTATATTTACTGAAAAATCTAGTATTTCTCCAGTGCAAATAATGCTACCTTTTAGTTTCGGATTTATACTTTTTACCATATTAAAAAATTGCTCTTCTATGCTTAGGCATTGTAGGGTTTTTACCATAAATCAGTATTGTACTTTGTCAAATGCTTTTGCTATTAGCATTTAGTTTTGGGTTACTATGCAATGCATTTTCCTATTTGAGGTGGTAGAATTTTAGTCAGTCTACACCTGAGTAAATCTGGGATGAAGCATTATTTCAATATTCCTGAACAATAGAAGACAGTAATCCATTCTCTATACCCGATGCAAAATTAGCATTCCTACGACACAGACCATGCCACTCCCTCCACTCAAAGATCTTGAAAGGCTCCCTATTGCCTCTAGGTCAAAAACCAAAGTCTTCAGCATTTATGTGATAGGCATTTAAAGCCTATCACAATCTGGTACACATATCCTTTTCTAGTCTTCGTTCCTTATATTCATTCTTTCCTGTACTTTCCTGTTCCAGCTAAACTGGCCTGCCAGCTGTTGTTTCCCATACACGGTATTCCATCTCATGTTCATTCCCTTATGTCTGGAATGTATCATCTCCTCACCTCCACCTTGCAGAGTCCCCACATTTCTTCAAAGCACACTGAGCTGCCACCTCCTCTAGGAGGCTTTTCTTAATGTCCCCAGTTACCAACACTCCCTCCCTCTGGAAATGACTTTGGACGACTTTTGTATAAACTTTGCATTTACTTATGTACACAGGGTTTCCCTCAGTAGAACATAGGTCCCTTGAGGGCAAAAGCTACTTAATTTTTGTCTTTTTATCCTCAATGTCTAGCATATTATCTTACACGTAATAGGCACTCAACACTTATTAAAATAAACTGAATAACCATGTATAATATAAACATGCATAATATAAACATGCTGTTCAACTCAATTTTTTTTCTTTCAATAAAGTAACTTATACCTGTCTGTTAAAACAAAGTGCTTTCATATGAAAGAAGTGCAGCTATGGATTAATATTTCAAATACTTTTCTTTAAAGGCAGCTGGGTTTTAATCATTCTTAATATTATAAAATATAGGATCAAAGAACAGTATTTTCATTATCAATGATCTACTCAAGACTGTGGACCTAAAGAGTATTCCTTTTTTGGAAGGAATATTGTATCACAAAGACTGTGTTCTTAATGTAGGTGGGTGGGTGGGGGTAGAGGTGGAAAGAAAGGAGGAGAGGAGGGGTCTGATCCTATGAATTAATTGGTATAGAGAACTCTCAGTATGGAAAAATCCCTTCACTAATGCAGACCAGCAGCTCTTCTAAAACATAGTCTTAGAGTAGCCTGGAGCACCGAAATGCCCAGGGTCACCCGGCTAGTCTGAATTAGAGGTTAAGATTCAAATCCAGGTCTTCTTGGCTCTAAGCTCAGCCCTCTATTTAGTATACCACATTGCCTCTCAATGACACCTTGCTCGTGCCCCTAAAAACACAAATCATCCAAACCGGTCCTGCTGAGAATCAGGCTAAGTGAGATAGCCACAGGTCAGAGAAGGCAAAGACCCAGCAATTCTAAGCTCTGTTTGGAAGGAGCTGCTCCTGAAAAGAGGATAGTTCAACCCTCCTCCTAGGAGAGATACCTAAAATGAAGGGGGAAGAGCTAGGAGATGTTCAGAAGGAACAAACAAAAGGTTCACACTCCCCTACTGACCAGTCACAGAAAACTCAACATCAGGATCTGACATCCTATAATGCTGGTTAAGTTTCGTTTTTATTTATAAAGTCAATAACTAGTGTCATGAGAGGCAGTGTGGTGTAATGGACAGAGTTGTCCTTGGAGTCACAAAGACCTGTATTCAAGTCCTGCCTCTGACAACATCCTGACTAAGCGAACTTAGCAAATTACGTAAGTTCTCTCCCCACTCCAGGCCATCCTCAACTCAGCTGCCAAAGGCCATTCATCCAAAAGACAGCTGACTCCTGTTCAGTGAGCTCCCTGCTGGCAACTGAAACTCTTCTTACCTGGCCCCTTCCTCCCTTTCCAGGCTTCTCATACTTGACTCCCCTCCACACTCTGCAACCCAGTCCCACTGGCCTGCCTGTACTGCCCTGAACATGATACTCCCATCTCCAGGCCTTTACTGGCTTATCTGGGTTTCTTCACGTCAGCTAAAATCCTACCTTCAACATGAAGCTTTTCCCAATCCTCATTAATGCTAATGCCTTCACCAAGATCATGTCGAGTTTGTCCTGTACATACATCCTTCTTCATATATAGTTGTATCTCTCATTAGAATGTGAGCTCTTTGAGAGCAGGGACTTTTTTTTGCCTTTCTTTAGAATGGAATGGAATTAGTATTTACTGAGTGCCTACTATGTGCCAGACTGTGCAAAACATTTGACAAGGAGTATCCCATCTCCATATACTCAGCACTTAGCCCACTACCTGGCACACTTGCTGACTTGACTTGATTTGGCTTCTCCCTACCCCTAGTAGAAGGCCCTGCCCCTCATCTCTACCTCTCAGTGTCCCTAGTGCCGCTCACCTGCTGCAGGAAGCCTCTCCTGGTACCCCTCCTGCGAATGCTTCCTCTTTCAGATGACTCCCCATTTATTTGGTCCCAATCTTCCACATAACTAGTTAGTTATTGACATGTTTTTGCTCCCATTTGAAGCACGCTTCTGGGCAGAACCTTTTTGTCTTTTTTTTTTTTATCCCCGGTGCTAAGCACAATGCTTCATGTACAATGATTAGCAAATGCTTGTTAAAAAGTTTTTAAAAGGGTGAAACTTAGCTAGTTCTTCACATCTTGAATACTTAAAAGTATGGGCAAATAACTTGTATTGCTCAAACACTCAGCTGCAAGTCAGGGGAGAGAAGAACAATGGGCAGCAATGCAGCTGCCAGGAGAAGACAATATGTGCCTATTTACTATAACATGGAGAGAAAGGCCTTTTCACATGCCCAGGCATCTAGATGTATGGAGTGTAAAATGGACAACAAACAGTGACTCCACCACATCAACTTTCCATCTCAAATTCCTGCCTTCCTTCTTTTGTTATTTTCCCCTCAACTTTACACCCCCTTATGAGTTCAGTGACTACTGATAATATTCAATTAAAATAAGGCGTCACTTGAAACAAACACAAGCAATTTAAGGAATCCCTACCACCATAAACTAACTAAGGCCCTTCAGAAGTGATTAAGCTTTTTTTTCACTCAATATAAAGACAGAACCATTATTTGAGGATTCACATAACACTTGGTAGCTATCTAAGAAAGTCCCAAAGCAAGCCTCACCATAACCCTTGCACCTGACTCCCTGGACAAGAGCAAGAAATCTGAGAATGGTAAGCTCCTAGCAGAAATTAAATCCAAAGAGACATGCAAAATGCATCTGCTGGTACTATTGGTGATAAGCCAGGACAATGATGACATAACTGGGGGCCCCAGAAAGCAGAGGTCATTTTTGCTACTTCCTACCAGTCTTAAGAGGTTAATGTGTTGACTTGTTATTAGGGTTGCATGAAGGGATTTTTTCCCCATTTTGCAATCTTAAAATTAAAAGAATTATGAAAAAATCTGCTGCTTTCCAAGGTTTCCAAAAAACCTCTTTCACCTGCAGGATTTCAATCTCCAAAGACAATAATCGGAAGTATGAGGTCACAGGAGGAGGGCTAGACTACAAATCAGAAGGTGGGGCTTCCAGTCCTGGCTCTGCCATTTCACTAGCCACTGGACCTCAGGTGAATCCCTTATCCTATCTTCAGCTATAAAAGGAGGAGAATGGATTCAATGATCTCAAAGGCTCTCTCCCCACTCAAACCTTCTAAATTCTATAACCTACCAAGCCATCAAGAGTGAGGGGTATTCCTGATCTCACTGAGTACCTTCACCCAGAGGCTGCAAAGAAGTTCACTGAAACGATGCTTGAGGAGTCTTAAGGTAATGCTATTGATATTTTTTCTTCAGGTCTGGATTCTTGACTCACAAAAGGTTTAGAACTACAACTGCACTTCTCTCTCCCATGGCAATTTTCTCTTCTACAAGAAGGCAACACTTTTGAATGGAATGTCTATTATTTTCAGTTATGAGTTAAAATGGTTTGCAACATTATCATTTATAATCAAAAGTTGACAGCAATCTTAAATCCTCCTTTCTTAATGATATCTGCCTTCTATAGACTGTTGATGTTATCTTTCATTTCACACCTCAGAAAGTAATGTGGACAAATATTATCTGGGAAGGCACACTCTTATTTAATTGGGCTTTGGACTCCAATATTTCAATATATGTCAGCCATTTGCAGAGAAATGAGTGGCAGTGGGACAGGGAAGGAGGGAGAACAAGCAATCACTCAAATGCCATTTTAAAAATAATGTGTTTGGCTAGTTCTCAGAGTCCATAAGGAATCAGAGAAAGTAAAAATAAGAGAAAAAGCCTTCGTCTATCCTACTCCCTTTTCCCTCAATTGAAAAATAACTCCAATACAGCATTTCACATAGGATTTTCATTCAACATGGTTTCTTCTACACAAATTGCACTTGCTATTCTCTACCCAAAATCCAAAACACTGGGTTCCTTCTGCATTGCTGGCCTCGTTATCCATCAGTTTAGAAAGAAAAAATGAGACCATATTACTTGTAGCAGAGGCCCTTCCATCTGACTGCTAAAATGCAAATCCCTAACAACAGCACCCAAGAATCTGTATTCCAGAAATATCCCTTTGAAATAATCATCCCCTCAGCCCTGGAGAATGGTACCAATGCCACTAACCTGTGTCGGTTTTTATTCTTCCTCTTTTTATGGCTGCTGTGATGACTCCCTGAAGAGGTAGAGGAAGCAGCCTTCTGGGGTTTCACCCCCTGCACAGATCCATCCAGATCCTCTGTGTCCTCTTGGCTGGGTTCATTCTCCTGATTGTGAAAGTCTGGAGATGTGTCACTCTCTGTACCACTGCCTGGTTCCCCTGAAGGAATTACAGACAAATTTAGAAGAACTTCTTCAGGATCCCTCAGCCATCACAGTTCACAAAGACCTGTTACTAGTCAGGCACCACTTGCATCCCAAAGAACTTACACTCTGCCTGAGGATAAAACATGAGCTCCTTGAAAGTATGGATTGTTCCATTCATTGGATCAATATCCCCAGCACCCACCACCACAGTGTTGAATAAATGCTTGTCGCCTGATTGACTGGAGAAAGAAGATTTGAAGTTGAAGCTCAAGTTACTGAGCTTCCTAAAAAGTACCAAGTAATTGGAAACATGAAAGCTGAAGACACTGGAGGACAGAGACCTACAACCAAGATATGTCAACCTTGTTGTATTGACTAGATCTTTACTGATATATTTTTATATCATCTACATTTTTCTAAGCATCAAATAATTTTCTTACAAGAGGAAAGGAAAAAAATTAGCAAAATCAACACATGGGAAAATATGATGCTATATGCAACGTTCCACACTGGTAGACCCCTCCAAAGAGTGGGAGCGAGTATCTTCTCATCTCTCTTCTTTGGAGTCAATCTTGGCCTTTAATATCTTGCAACATTTCACTTCAATTGCTTTGTGATGGTTGTTCTTTCCACTGATTTATATTGTGTTAGTTACATAGTATATGATTTTGCTTTGCATCAGCTCACCTACGTTTTCCCATGCTTCTCTGCATTTACCATGTTTGCCTTATCTTACAGCATAGTAATATCCTATTATATTCATCCACCAGACTTTGTTTAGCCACTTTCCAGTGGATTGAGCATCTACTTTATTTCTAGTTCTTGCTACCGTAAGAAGTGCTGCTATCAATATTTTGATGTATAGAGAGCACTTTCTGTCTTTGATCTTCTTGTGGTTTATGCTTAGAAGTGAGATCTTTGCATCAAAGAGTAGGGACATATCAGTCAATATTTAGCCTAATTCCAAATTGCTGTTCATACTGGTTAACTAATTCCCAATTCCACCAACAATGTACTGATTATCTTTCTGCAGCCCCTACAAAGCTTTTTCATACCTTTTGTCATCTTTACTAATTTCCTGGGTTTAAGGTGAAATCTCAGAGTTGTATTGATCAGTTTCTGGTAATCTGGTAATACTGGTAATTTGGGACAATCTTCATACAGTTATTAATGGTTTGCAATTCTTCTTTTGAAAATTGTTGGGCCAGCTAGGTGGCGCAGTGGATAGAGCAACTGGCCCCGGATTCGAGGACCTGAGTTCAAATCTGGCCTCAGACACATAACACTAGCTGTGTGACCCTGAGCAAGTCATTTAACCCTCTTGCCTAGCCCCCCCCAAAAAAACTGTTCGTATCTTTTGACCATCTTCTATTGGGAAACAGCTTTTTGTCTTTTCTATTTCTATATATTATCTTACACGTCTACATATTATCTTACATATTTAATACAAAGATTTTTCCCAAGTCAATCCTTGCTCTTCAACTAGATGTATTAATTTTGTTTGTGTAAAACCTTTTCAATTTCATGTAGTCAAAAGTATCTATTTTATCTTTTCTTTTAAAGGACAGATACAAAATATTTTAATGAAACAGCCTTACAAAGAAATTTACTCACAACTTAGAGGAGACCCAGGGGAGGAGACTGATTCTATCTTGCATCTCTGCCCCCTTTCCTCTTTCGAGACCCTTCAGATCCAGCAGGGAGATCTATGTTACCCTCTCTTGCCGGAGACAAGAGATAGGGTCCTCAAGTATGGTCCTTTGAATCTAAACTTCACAGAACAAATCCTTTCATTAAAGGGATTTGGAAGTTTGGATTGAAGATCTAGAGGGCCACATGTGAAGGCTGAAGGTTCCACACCCCTGCCCTAGAGTGTGTAGGGAGGGAAGTAAGGAGACCTTTAATTAGATTGATAGGATAATCACCTAACTCACATTTCCAGAAAAAGGAATTTTAACTGGGGAAAGAGAGTAATCAAGCAGTAAATAAGTTTCAAATGAATAAATGACAGGGACAATAAATGCTACAGGAGTTTTGAGAAGAGACAGATTACTTCAAAATATGTCCAGGGACATCTCCAAAAGTTTGATGATGGAAAATGCTATCCACATCCAAAGAAAGAATTATGGAGTTTGAATGCCGATCGCAACATACTATTAGCTTTTTTTTTTTCTTCTGTTTTGTTTTGTTTCCTCTTTCTGGTGGTTCCACTTATTGGTTCTAATTCTTCCTTACAACATCAGTAATGTGAAAATATGTTTACTAGGAATGTGTGTATATATACATACATACATACACATATACATATATATATATGGATGGATGGATGGATGGATGGATGTATAGCCTATATCAGATTGCTCACCGTCTTGGGGAGGGAGGGGGAGAAAATTTAAAACTCAAAAGCTTATGGAAGTGATTGTTGATAAATCAAAATAAATCAATTAAAAAAATCATTATAAAAAATATGTCCAGGGAAAACTTAATGGAAGAGATAAGATTTGACCTGGATCACAAAATATTAGAAGAAATATGAGTACGACAGGTACGAGGAAGAAGTTGGGCATGCCATGAAGGAGGAATAGAATAAGCAAAATCAATAAAGCAATAAAATGGAGTCTTCAGAACCACCTGGAAAAAGCAGATTTTTAAGCCTTAAAAAGGGCAGTTCTAGTAGCTGAAGATAAAATTAAAAAGGCAGGTTGGTGCCCCTGGGTCTATATAAACTAGCTTCCCTGCTGTTCACAATGACACTCCACCTTCCAGCTCTAAACCTTTACCTTAGCTCACCATGTACGGAATGCATCCCCCCCAACTTATCCCTATCTCTTAGTATCATGGTTTTTCCCTGGGAAGACTTATATAAATTGATATAAAGTGATGTGAGCAGAACCAGAACATTGTACACAGTAACAGCAACATTTTAATGACAATCAACTGTGAATGACTAATTTACTTTGATCCAAGAAGGTTCCAAAGGGCTTGTGATGAAAAATGCTATCCAGAGAGAGAACTGACGGACTCAGAGTACAGACTGAAGCGTATTTATTTTTTCCTTTCATTATTTTTCTTGACTTTTTTTTTAACACAGCTAATGACGAAATGTATTTTGCATCACTTCATATGTATAACTAGTATTATATTTCTTTCCTTCTCAGTGGGTGGGAAAAATTACAGAATGGAAAATAAAAAAATAATTTTTTATAAAAGAAAAAAATCACGGTTTTCTTCAAGACTTAAGTGACATGACTGACATTAACCTTTCCTGCTCTCCCACCCTCTAGGACCCTGTCATCTCCCTTGTATTTAATTTGTGTTTGTTTATTAATGCTGTGTCTCTCAATAAGATGTAAGCTCCTTGAGGACAGAGAGAGCTCATTTTTATCTTTGTACCTTCAGCATTTAGCCCAGTAGCTAGCATAAAGAAGGTGCTAGGTGGCACAGTGGACAGAGTGATGGACACGGATTCAGGAAGACCTAAGTTCAAATTCTGCCACAGATACTTACTTAGCTGTGTAATTCTGGGTAAGTCACTTAACAGTTTCATCTTCAGTTTTCTCATTTACAGAACTGGGATAAATGACAGTCCCTACCTTCCAGGGTTATGAGGACCAAATAAGATGAGGTATGTAAAGTGCTTTGCAAACCTTAAAGTGCTATTTGAGAACAGCATTTTTTGTGATTTCTAAGAACTGGAAACAAAGTGGATGACCATCAACTGAAGAATGGCTAATCAAATTGTGGTACATGAATGCAATGGAATATTACTGCATTGTAAGAAATGATGCATGTGATGAAGACAAGAAAAGTTTGGAAAGATCTATGTGAACTGAGGCAGAGCAAAGTAAAGTAGAGCCAAGAAAATAATATACACAATAATATAACATTGTAAATGAAAAGAACAATGACACACACACAAAAAAAGTAAATATAACAAAATTACAATCGAACAAAATTATATCAAGCAGGATTCAAATGAACAAATATAAAGGACACCCCCAAAATAGCCCTTGGTGGGGGTGGGAGATCCACAGCTATTACACAACGCACATGTTTTGACTTCCTCAATGTAATGATTAGTTATGCTGATTTCTTTTTCTATCTACCCCCACCCTTCCTATTTGTCATATGGTGTGGCTCTTGAGGAGGGGAAGAAATACATGGGATATTATGGTGATATAAGAAACAGAAAATACCACTAAAAATTATTTTTTATAAGAGGCTCTTATAAGCACTAGCTATTGTTATTTTATTATTAAATATTAGTTGATTAGAAAGCTATTTGTGTACTGCAAAGTAAGAAAACTATGTTACTGTATGGTTTATGCAAGTAGAGGATAAATGATAAAAGAGGGCTATGTGGCACACACAGCAATGTCAGCCAATCAACCTTCTATTACAGTGAAGAACAAGGCATAATAATGCTTTGTGTCCACATAAAAATGAGCAACTGATTTAGAGCAAAGAATATCAAAGCTTGTATGAAGTTAAATCTGCAAGGAAAACATCTGACATGGTAAAGAAGTGTATGGAAACAAAAGAATTTCAAAAATAAGATGTACGTTTGGGCATACATGGTTAGGCAGCAGTAGCAAGTGGCCATGCCAGAGAATGCTAGATGGGCAGAGGGATGTCTCGAGTCTGGATGTCATCACAGCCCCGCACTAGCATGGCTAGAAAACCTCAGTTTTCTCATTTGTAAAATAAGGCAGTTGAATTGGTGTTCTCGAAGGTCCCTTGCCAGCTCTAATTAGTGATTCTAATTTATTAAATACCTCCATAATAATGCACAAAATGGCTGTCTAGTTGTCCAGAGGGCTAACGAAAAATTAGAAATTGGGTTCATTCAAACAGATAATAAATTATGATAAAGATAATTAAATAGCTAAATTTAGATAAAGGCACAGGTTCACTCTGAAAGAAAATCAACATCAAGTTTCAATGAAGATGATGTCACACAGAATGGATGTTTCAGATTCAAATAAGCAATGACGGAAGACTAGACGTGCGTTTTCTTTGCTCCAGAGACGTTAAACAAAATGCTGCATGTTTGAGGGAAACAATAGCCAGAGGTGAAACATGATGCCTCCAATTTAGCCTATGGTGAAAAAAGACTCAAGTCTCCAGGGAGAAACGCCATTGTCCTAAGTATGTGACAGAAACAGACCAAGAGAAATCTTCATTGGAGATATGGACATCAAAGGCACTTGTCAACCAAAATTCACTCCAAGGATAGGTGCATTAGACTTATGCAGAAATTGAGACTTTTGAGAGATTCTGTACAATGTGAAAAGGAGTAAACTGCAGCCTAATATCTGTTTCATGACAATGCTTCTGCTCACGGTACGTTTGCTGTCAAATGTTTGAACCAAAAAAAAAAAAATAATGGTATTCTGCTTGATTGTTTATTCACCAGGCTTCACTACAAATTATTTTTGGCAATTTTCCAAAATGACATCCATCAGATTTTCCACATTTGAAGATGTCCAAAAGAACATGCTAGGAATTCTGAATGCAGTTCAAAAAGAACTCTAAAAGTGTTGAGAGCAGTAACAGCATTACTGGAATAAGTGTTGAGTTTCCTAAACCACTTCAAAAGGGATACTCAATTGGATACATAAATGCAGTCTGAGTATTAGTTAAGAGCCTAAACTACAGTGGCAGTCAATAGGAATGGAAAAGAAATGAAAGTCTGATTTGAGACTGGGAAAGAAGAAAATGGAATTTGTTCATACAATGGGACACAGGAATTTAGGAAGACAGAGGAGTAAAGCATGACCCAAAGTTATCCAACTTATGTGATCAGGAAACAGCAGGTACAATTATTAAGAAAAATTAAGATGGAAAGCTCGTTCTGAAGAAAAAACTAGCACTTCTGTTACAGACAAGTTAAATCTATAGAAGTAAAAATGTCCATATAAGAAGCTAGAAATACAAAACTGGTCCATGGAAAAGAGCTCTACATACTAAGGCTATGGATATAGCTTTGAGTTATGCACACAGAGGTGTCTGAAGCGAACAAACAATTCTTCACAAATTACAAACTTTCAAAATTCTTTTGTTAAACCAGGGTTTCAATGCAGAGATTTAATTACATTCCACAAGCATTGTGATAAAGCCCCAAATGAAATAAGTACAATGAGGGAATAACAGAAGGTTAGAGCTGAAATGGACCCTAGATACCCTCAAACCAGTCAGTTCAATCTTCTCATTAAAAAAAAAAAAAACAAAACAAAAACCTGGGACCTAGAAGAGAGAAGTTGACATGCCCAAGATCTTTCTCCCTCCCACAACTAAACCACTGTTAATACTAAGATGCTTGGACATAAGTTCCAAGGTGATATATATACATATATATGTGTGTGTACATATACATATATATGTTTTCAATAAGAGATCTTCACACATATTACATGTTATAGGAAAGTACACATGCATGGCATTTATAAAATATATTATCTTACAATAAAGTAAGTAAAAAGGGAAATATGGTCAATTCTTTAGAAATAAATATCTCATTCAATGAGTTATGCATAGGAATCTATCTTTGATTCCAAACACCTAGCAGAGTGCCTGGCATACAGCAGGTGCTTAATAAATCCATCTTGATTACCTGATCTTATGATACAGGTCACCTGAATATTACTCCTCCAAAAAAGCTCTCAATTTATACTTGTCTCTCAAGATACCAATTTTTGATGTAATGAACAAAAAACTGTTTCACAGCAATTTCAAGGACAGTTGTCTTTGCATAAGTAACAAAAAGCCTTTAAAATGAAAAGATTTTGGAAAATAAAACATAGCAAATGAGAAAATTATCACAACTCAAGCTCGAATATACAAAAGTATATCTTTTTAACTTCATAATTTCCTCCAATCTTTTCCAACACTCACTTTTCCTATAAACACTTTTATTTTCCATTTTTTCCACTGGAATACTTTTGGATTCCTTATTTATTACACTAGGTGAGTATACCTCAAATTTTCTATTGTGACTGAAAAATGATCAAAATATTAGGTGATTTAAGTCTTGAAATATCTAGTCAGAATTAAGCAGACAGGAAGAAAAGGGGACTTACAGTCAAAGATTAAAGTAAATACAAATTTAAACCAGGCCCTTTTTATTCATGTGCATATGGAACAAAAGTCAAGAAGAAACAGATGCATGTTATCTTAAGAAAGCCAATTCACAAAATCCCAAAGTACAAAACTAAATACATTACAAAAGAACTTTTCCTTACAAAAGTTTATATATCTTTCCTAATATATTTAAAATTATTCAATTTATATATATTTTTTCAAGAATATGTCTACTGCATAAAGTGAGGTATACATTTATCTTCAATGGTTACTAGGAAGCCCTGCTTAGGACAATTTACTCCAGATGTTATTCTGAAGGACTGTTAATCAGTTAATCTTTCTTCCTTACATATGGTTTCCATGAGATGTTGAAAGTGGTCTAATGGGAAGAACCACATTTCTGAATGATCTTTAAATTCTAGTCATTTACAGAAGAACCAAATTACACTAATTCACAATGCTTTGACATGTACCCTTTTATAAAGTGGTTTGAGAGCTTGGTTTAATAAGCACTCTTTTGCCCTGAATTAATTCATTACCTTGTATATCACTGTTAATGTAGTTATCTAATTCCAGTGAAAAGTATTCACATGACCTAATTCTGCTATACTCTCCCTTTAGAATAATAATAATAATAAAAAGCATCCTTACCTAGTATTCTATTACACTATAAAATAGAACTTCTCATCCTAAATGTATCAGCGGGATATGATGCCAACCATGGCAGCAGGGAGGAAGTGCATGACCCACAGAAAATGATCATCTCCCAAGTCAATATCCCTCTCTCTGTTCTCCTGGTTTCCCTTCATCCTTGAATTTGTATGACTAGCTGACCCTCTAAAGATATACTGATTTTCAAGAAGCTACAATATGGAGAATTCCAAAAACTGAAGTACAAAGATAGATCCATCTCTAATCACTGTTTCAGAAGTCAAAATAGAATCAAAGTATTGTTTCCATTCATTAAATGGTAAAAGTTGCTCATATTTGCATAGTGTGGTCCTCCAAAGCATCCACCATCTAATAAGGGCACAGATAAGTGTTTTCTCCATTTTATACACAAGATTTATAGGTATCAAGGCATAATAATATGGAAGACCTAGAATGAACACTGGAGATCCCCTAACTCAAACTTTTCATTTTGAAGAGGGAGCAACTAAGCTCTCAGATGCTACCCCAACTGGCCAAGATTATGTACAGCTATGCCCACAATCGAGGATTGCTGATTCCAAGTCCAAGGCTCTTTCCATTTCACCAGGATGCCTCTTTCTGAAATAAAAATTCTTCAATAACTTTAATTCAGTGGGCTTAAAGAGGGTCACATACTTGTGTTTCTTCAGAGAATTTCAGAGAGGTTTTTGAGCCCACCTCCCTGGTAACAAGAGAGGTAAGGAAGTATGTTGCAATCAATCTCTCTCTCTCATAGTACCTGTAAGCATTGGTACTTGAATAGAAATAAAAGTGCATGAGAGCCTCCTCTAGGTTTCTCAAAGAAACTGCAAGGATTTAACATATAAATGCAGGGATGATCAGATCCTAAGAACATAAAAACTTACTTTTTTCAATGAGTTGGTCCTGAACTCCAGCCAATGCACTGACTGCCTAAAAGAAAAAGACAGCAAAAAACTCATTGGTAAAAGAGTCGAATAAAAAAGAAATTAGACTTCAATCTGGTTATTACAAAAACCATTCATTTAAGAAAAGCAGCATTTGGCTAAACAGATTTATTTGGGAAAAAAATATTAATTTTTTTAATAAAATGTGAAAATTTTACATCAAATACCAAAAAAGTACTTTTTCTTTTTTAACAGAGAATTGGCCCAAAAATTGATCTAAGTTTCACCTGGGTGATGATTAGTCAACCATCAGAAATGTATCACTAGTCTCACCCCACTTACAGCTGCTGAAGTAACTGAGGATTTACTGAAGAGTCGCTCAGCTTCCTTAAATTTTCGGTTCCTACGATCATTTTTGCTATTGGAGTTTCTAAAATGGAGAAAAAAAAACCTCATGAACACCTGCCACGTCTACAGTTAAGTTTTATTCCATATCTTGATTTGATAAGAAAAAATGACTTTCAGAAATGGAACTGAAGGAACCGATCCAAAAGGGAAAAATTTTCAGTTGAAAGGCACACTTACATAAAAAACTTAATTTAGTTCTTTTTTGCTTTAAAGTAAAAGAATATTCAACTCACAAGTTTTTGAAATTAAGAATGGGAAAACGAAGCTTTATTTAATAACTAAAACTAATAAAAAGGATACCTCAGTTTCATATACTGGCCAGAAAGACCAGAAAAGAGAGAAAAAGAGAATGGGAAACAGTAAAGAGAGAAGGTAAGAAAAACAGAGAGAAGAGAAAAAAAAGTCAGGAAGGAATGACGATACTCATATACTGGGAGAGGATAAAACCAAAGAAAAGAGGAGGCACCCAAAAAAAGAGGCAGAGATGGACAGAAACATACACAGACCCCAAAGGGAAAGGAAAAGAAAGAGAGGGAGGGAAGGACAGACACACCCACCCACTCACCAAGAAGGAATGGAAAGATAGTCACATGAACCAAAAGGAAGAGGGTCAGAAACACACACACACACACACACACAAACATCCCAGGAGTAATCCAGGAAGACACCAACCAAGAAAAAAGCTATCTTTTACTCCTACTCGTTAAAATTCATCATTGATTATATATTGAAGTCTAATCACACCTATCATGAACATCTCTATTTTCCAATTATTCACAGACTATACTCCACATCTTGTATTAAAATCATGGGACTCTGGGAGAAGGAGATGGAGCACTGAAGGAGCTTTACAATTTCCTGAATAAACTCCAGCCTGTTCTCCTTCTCCTCTCTTCCTATTTAATTGTGAACCAGGATATTGTCCATTTGTGCTGTTTGCCTCAGATACACATACTAATGGAGACGCTCTAAGGATTGTCTATCCAAACTCATGTCATAACCACTTGTTCTTTCCCATGTGGATGGTAAGGTCAACTCTTTTGAATGGCTACAGATCTTTTCCAGGGATGTTCCAGGTATGGATGAAACCAGCACAATTTCATCTACAAACAGAAACATCTGTAAGATCTCAATATCCATACTAAATCCCTTTTCAACATGGACCGTGTGCTGAATCAATGTCATGCCTCAACTGATGATTATGATCAAAAGGTTGTTGAATAGTCCATCAACAAGCATTTATTAAATACTTATATGCTAGGAATTGTGCCGTTAGGCACACAAATACAAATAAAAAGAGAGTTGGCCCCTGTCTTCAATTACATTGTAATAGAAAAAGATAACAACAGAAGAGCTAAAATGGGGGTAGAGGGACAGTAGGTACTCACATGGTCCCATGATGGCAAAGTCAGGAGAGTCAGAGGCAAAGCCAGGAGGGAAATGAAGGGAGGCTGGCCTGGGCCCTTCTCCAAAATAGAGGCCCCAAGAGGAACTCGAAAATGAGAGGAAGAGATCACAGGGCAGGAGAGATATTTCAGGGTGAGGGTACCACAAGTGCTGAGGGTAGTTCCAGAGTGAGAAGACAGTTAAGGCGCTGTAGTTGCATAAGGTTATTATTTGTTGTTGTATCTTTCAAAGAAGCTTAAATGATTCTGACTTATGAATGGGAGACACCTTGCTGAAAGAGCATTTAGGTGGCTCAAATCAAATGCTCTTTCATAATCAGCAATAAGCTTAGTATAAATTTGTATTTTTTACATTTTTCCTTGAGTTTCACGATGGTAAAGATGCAGTCCATTGTACAATATTGCTTATGAAAACCTGCTCTCTACTATCAGTGAGTATGTCTTTGATGGTTGTGCAGATAAACCTTAAAGATTTTATATAAATGGGAAAGTTAGCACATGGATAAGTAGTTTGCTGGGTGGGGGGATGGAGGGTGGTGATGGGAATTAATAAGGGTTTTTCCCCCTATGTCTTTGGTATCTTCTCTTTCAGATACAATGTAAATTAATTCCCCAAAGTGCTCACAATTAATCACCTCCAGCACATTTTATCTCCTCTATGTATACTTATTTCAATCAGGTGCCTTTTCTAGTTTTTGTTCCTTTTAGTGACACTGCTATTCCTCTATGGGCACAACCAGGACTACGATGTTAAAGTCTAAGTGCAGTGCTGTTTCCCAAACTTTTCTATTTCCTCTTTCTGTCCAGATAGTCTATAGAATACTCCAATAATAAAATCACTTCTATTTATTCTTTCACAGACCTTCACCCAAATATTCACTTTACTTTTCCTCTCTCTAGTTCCTGGATTTCTGAATTAGGAGCTCTGTGGGCATCTGTGTATGTATATATTTGAGGCCACAGAATTTACTATTGGTTCTTTTCTTGTGTTTCAACTACTATGAACCTATGGGTATCTCAACTGCTACTCTCTTCTTCCTTCACTGTAGAAAATCTCTATTTCTTTTTTGCTCTCAGTTTTTGTACCATATAATCACATAAAAGGCTCTAATAATTATTTTTGTGTCTTCTGGTTTTGTTGTGATTTCACCTTTTTAATTTGCTATTTTATTTATTTTCTGCCCTCTTTAATCAGACTAGCTAAAGATTTATCAATTTTATTGTTTTGGTTTTTTTTTTTTTAAAGAACAAGCTTTTAGTCTTATTTATCATTTCTATAGCTTTTTTGGTTTCCAGTTTATTTCTCCTCTAATTTTTAATATCTTCTCTTTTGTGTTTATTTTAGATATTTGCTTTCAATTTTTAAAAAAAATGCAGTCAGTTCATTAATTCTCGCCTCTATTTTGTTAATGTGTTTGTTGGGATGTGATATTTCCTCATGAGAACTCTTAGAAATTTTGGTAGGTTATTTCATCATTATTATTTTCTTTCATTTCATTACTGTTTCTATGATTTGTTCATGGACCCACTCAATATTAAGAATTTCATTGTTAAGTCTCCATTTGCCTGTGTCTTTGTGCTCTCTAAACTTACTATTCTTATTGTGGTAATAGTCCGTAAAGGATGTGTTTACGCTTTCTGCCTTTTTACATTGGTTTACAATGTATCTGTGCCCTGTTGAATTTTTGTAAAAGTTCCATGAAGTGCTGAGAAATATATATATTCTCTAACAGTCCCATTTAAAAGAATCCAAAACTGAGAGGAACATTGAAATCTCCTGCTACTTTATATTACTGTCTTCTTGTAGTTATTTTTTTCTTTAGGAAATTAGATATGAGTTTAATATTGATATTTGTTTGTCTATGGTTCCTTTCTGGCATTGCTTCTTTGTTTATCCCTTTTTATGTTTTGAATGTTTTTGAATGTCTAATAGCATGTCTACTAGCAATGTCTGATAGCAATGAATGTCTAATAGCATGATTATTCAATCTAATACTATCTTTATGTAATAGCAGGAGTCCTTGCTTGTGGGGATTCACATGATGCATAGTAATTTTTTTTCCAGTTCCTCATTTTTTTTATGTATACATCTGTTTTTTAAATGTGTTCTTGTAAGCAATGAATTGTGAAGTTGGGCTTTGTTATCCAACCTGTCACTCTTTTTCTTTCTTTTTTGTTTAATCCATTCACACTTAAAGTTATGAGTTGTTTATATTGCCCTCTATTGCTCCTAATATTTCTTCTCCAATTAGGATTTTCCCCCTATTCCTCTGTAAACAGTACTTTGTCCCTTCAATTATATTAATGTATGTCAAAGCAACCCTATTCTCATCGGTCCTTATATCTCCTTCCTCAAGCACTTCCCCTCCCATTACATGTTTCCCCTTTCTCTAGTTTGGAGTTTTACTTATTAGTTCCTTTTATTTTATGTAGTTAATTCTCCTGCTCTTTTCTCCTCTCATTTAAGGAGTCAAGTAAAATCACACTTCCTCTCCCCCCCTTCAATTTGTTCATTAAATTTTATTTTCTATGCCTTTAAAAAAAAAAGGTTTCTTCCCTCCTCTTCATTATTTATCTTCCCTTTTTGTTCATTCTAGACTTTTACTCTTTGATTCATGGCCCTTATACTAAGTCTTCCTTTAGTCTCAATTCCACATGGAATAAAACCTTCTAAGGTTAACTGTTGCATTCCCGCTTCTAAATAGTTAGCGTCAGGTTTGCAGGGTATGTCATGCTGGACTGCATCTTCAACTCCTTTGCTCTTTGGAGCAAACTATTCTGCTTCCTCTTGCAGTTTCTGATGGGTGCAGAATAATCTTGTGTCATTTTAATTTCCTTTCCTCTATATTTGAAGGTCTTTCTGCTCTTTACTTGCAGAGTTTGCCGTTTCTTAAGACTGTTAAATTTAACCACTCTATGTCTTGGAGCTTTCAGCATGGGGTCTTTTGTGAAGGACATGTATAGATTCTTTCAATTGGCACCATTTCCTGTATTCAGAAGTTCTGGACAGTTTTCTAACATTATGGTGTTGAGGTATTTTGGTTAGTCATGTTCTTCTGGGAGACCTATCATCCTTAAGTCATCTCTATGCATCCTATCTTTGAGATCAATATGTTTTGCTTATACAGAGCTTATGCTTTCTTTTAATATTAGTAGTTTTTTGCTTCTCTTCTTTCAGATTGGCCCTTACTTTCTTGTATTTGCATTCCCGGTCAGTTATTTTCTCTTCTATTTCTTTGCTGAGACTTGCCAAGATGGATTCAAATTTTTCTACTCTCCAATGACTTCTGCTATGCAGGCCTGAACTTCTGTTTTTCCATCTGTTCTTTCTCTTTTACACCTTTCAGGAACATCCTACTGTGGCTCCATGCTCTCTTGGGAAGCCACAGGGTCTTCTGCCACATTGGTGTTGATTCATCTTCCTCTGTCTTGCAATACTTAATTCACAGATGCCCGAACGTTGTTTCCTAAGCTGAAAGCCACTTCCCCTTCTGTTATTAATATCTTTCCTGTTGTTTTTTTCTGCTTATGTTCAATGTCTTGGAGTTTTCTTCCTCCTGAGATCTTTGCTCCATCTTTTTTCTTTATTTTTCCCTATGGCTCAATCTGGATCCCA